CATTTGATAACTCAAAAAGTACTGGAAATATTTTTATGAAACTTGATATATGGGTAGATGGCAGTCTTGAGATTATGCATGTCTTATCTGTTCTCCCTATTTTGAAAAAATATTGGTTGCCTTGGCAACAAATAGGCTTAAAACATGGCAAATATAACATTGTTTGTGATAAGTCAAAAAGAGCTGAATTTTTTTTATGAAATTGCATCTTTAATTCAAGAGTTATCTCCTCTTTAAGCATTTTGCTTTTAAAAATGTTATATTTTGGTAACAGGGATGTTTCAAATATTAACTTTAGAGTGTCCTTCAGTCCGTCTGTCTGTCTGTTCATAAAAACTGTTTCCTGTGATCACTTTTAAAGAACTTTTCCAACAAATTTACTTAAAATATAGAAAAATTGACGTATTAGTGAATGGCCATTGGCCCTTCAGAATGTTGATGGGGTTCTAACCGGTAGGGGACTTATGGATTGCTTGCAATACTATGATAATTGCTTGTTGACAAAGCCATTTCTAACGATGGAGCTGGATATAACGTTAATACAGGAATATTTACAGCTCCTGTAACAGGACTCTACCTATTTACTTTCAGCGTGAATGACGGCGTCCATATAAATGTTCTACAATTGGTTATGGATGGGTCTAATTTGGTTGACATTATAGACAGTCCTGTCAATAATGCACAGGTAAATGCATTGTTTAGTGTAAAACAATCAAGCTTATACAAAGGCTATTACACATTAAAGGGCGTAATAGACACGCAGCGACTTTTCATAAAACGATAAAATCGAGCCTTTCATTTGTTCATAAACCTGTGTTTCTGTAAGTCTAAAATATGTCAAATGTGCGATTAAAGAAATGGTATCTGTGTCTTCCAATAAACAATAACAGGAAAAGATAATAACGTTAAAAACTTATGCATTCATTTAAAAAAATTGCAGAATATTCTTTGTAAAAAGGATAAGAAAGTTTAGATCAGAATAATCAATATAATAATATTTTATATAATAAGTGTCATTATCTTGTAGACTATGAGTAGCAACACAGGGTGATAGTTCATGTAAACAAAGGACAGTCGGTATGGATTCAGGAGTATGCACTAAACGATGCATCAATACTTTCGCGAGAAATTTACCGTTACTGCACATTTTCTGGAATTCTTCTGTATTAAATATGTTCAGAAAATAAATCAGTGGTAAGAAATCATATTCAGAAGTCCAAATACTTTTTAATAATTACTAAAATGTTGAAAAGTTGTCATATACATATATATTTGTATTGAAAATATAACAAAATTGCAATTTTACACAAAGGAAGTGGGTTTTTGCTCTAGAAATAATTCGCGAATGGACTACCATTTCACTTAGATTTGACGACATTTTTTTATTTTATTATTTTTAAACATTTTCAGGCATGTGGCGGGAAATAAATCAGTTATTTATATTTGTTTAAATTAGCATACTTGAAGTAATAAGATTAAATGTTTATTTTGATATCATTGTGAAACTATAAATATTTTTCAATCCTAATGAATACAAGAGGGCCATGATGGCCCTTTTATTGTCAACTTATTGAAGTATACCTTATTTGTTATGGAAAGTTAATGATTGCTATGGAAGTCACTGATTGCAATAGAAAGTCAATGGTTGCTATGGAAGTCATTGGTTGCTATGGAAAGTCAATGGTTACTTTGAAAAGTCATTTATTGCTATTGAAATCACTGGTTGCTATGGGAAGTCAACATGGATTTTATGGAAGTCAGTGGTTGCAATGAAAAATCAACGGTTGCTATGGAAAGTCAATGGTTGTAATAGAAGCCGCTGGTTGCAATTAAAAGTCAAAAGTCACTATGTAAAGATAATTGTTGAATGGAAGTCAATGTTTGCTAGGACACTGATTGCTATGAAAGTCACCGGTAGCTATGGTCAATGATTGTTTTAGAAGTCAATGGTTGCTGTGGAAGGCACTGGTTAATATATATATTTAGGTTATTAGGTTATTATTATAAGGTTATTCCATGATCCTTTTCACCTCATGGATGGTAACAATTTAGACTAAGCACTATAAGTTAAGCTGCGGTCTCACTTACTCCCGGCAGAGCCCAGGACCATTCCGGTAAGTTACCGGGATGATCCGGGAGATCCGGGGTAAAATAATTGTTGCAGTCACACTAACCCCGGCAGCACTACGGTAATTCCCAACTTACCACCCAGGATGCGCTCCGGATCATCAAAGCAGAGCCCAGGTGAAGCTACGGTTCATGCCGGTGCTTCCCCGGTCATTCCCGGATGACGCCGGAAGAACCCCGGTTAACCCAGGCAGAAAAATCATGCAAATACAAAAATATATCATAGCCATCAACAATAAAAAAACATCATTAAAATTGTAAACATGCATTTTTCAATAAAGGCATGAAATAATCGATAATTTATCGATGACACCGAGAACAGGTGGTCAATTCCCGGGATTACTATATATGTTTAATACGATCCCGGATCCCCGCTTTTCTAAAGGCGATCCCGGGATTTCCCCCCACCCCCCACCTGAAGAGAGTTAAACTGGCACACAAAAGAAGCGCTTCAATTCATTTTGAGCACTAAACTGGTCATGTGTCCATTAATTACGAATGTTCTCGTTCTTAAAGCTTAAAACTGGCAAAATTATTTTTTAGAAACAAGAAAGTCTTCACGGAAAAGGGACATAATATTGAGAAATAACTAAATTACTGTATATGTACCTGAAATTTTATAAAAAATACTTTTGATAGTTTAAATTTGTGAGAAATAAACTTAAACCAAATATTAACCTGTGGAAAAAACCGAGCGCAGGAAAGGCATTATCATAAAATAATCTCCAGTCGATCATCAAGAACACAGAAAGCATTTTGCTCAAGCTTTTGTGGGTTTCAAGTCAATCTCATCATCTCGGTCCTCGGGCAGTATTTTTTTTTAAAGAAAAGACCAACTTTACTTGACCTGAAATAGGGAACGCAGCTTCCCATACATAGTTTATTCATTCTTTTACTCAAATTAGACATATTCAGTAAGAATTTCATAGTCTGTGATTGAAATATTTTTTTAAAAGATGAGCATAGTATATCTTTAGTCATGACTGAATATACTTGACAGAAAGTGCGTGCAGCCATGTATATTACAATCTAAAATAAGATAAAGATTGGTTGGGTTGGATTTAAAGTCAAAATGGCAATATGAATGACTTTCCAGCATCCCAATACATTATTCACAGCAATAGCGAGCCCTCGAGAAGAACCACTGAATTTCCGTAACCAACAGAGTAGCTTCCTCATCCAATCTGCGATAATGCAATCTGCAGATATACATGTATGTGTCCAATATAAATATTTTCTATCAATGAATTTGCTACACAGCCCTCGCAGCTCGCTGAATACATTCACGTTACTTTAGACAGTGTGCGAGGGTGAAACATTCGACCGATGCGCAGGAGAGAATGAATTTCAGTATACAAAAAAATAAATAAATGTTTATGTGATAGATAGAAGTTATGAATATGAAGAAAACACTTAACGGGCAGAGTGACTTCAAAGTTTTTCTTGTAAGCGTCTAACGGACTTCATCTTTGACTACTTTTTAAATTATTAAATGGTTAGATGAACGCGTGTGGGTTATAGGTAATAAACACATTTATCACACACGTGCCGATTTTGCGACTCCGTAAATATGGTATTGCACGGGCGTGCATATATTTTGACGTGACGTCATTAGCGTTGTACAAACATAGTGTAAAGACGCGCTAAATATTAGCGTTATACTATAGGCGCATCAATGAAAAATGACCTTTATTTCACTTTAAACGTCTTTATTTTGGGTATGTGATAAATAGAATAATAAATTCGTGTAAGTTCATCACTGAATTTATTGCACTCGTTGAATAAAGTAATATTATGCTCGCCACTGGCTCGCATAATATCATTTTTTTCAGCTCGTGCAATAAATTCAGTATTGAAGTTACACTCATTCAATATCCTCTATTTAAGGCGTCTCATATAACGATAAAAGTTGGACAAAAACTAAAAGATTTTAATGCAATGTTTTGTTTTCTTTTGTTCGATTATCGAAATATTTATTGTTTCGTATTTAATTATTGACAATAAACTCCACTACTGCGATAATTCATGTGACTAAGGGATCGTCTGTATTGGTTAAAGAATATGCCATTCATGAGGGTTCAATATTTTCAAATAATATCGGAAAATATTGTAAATTGTTCATATAAGTGTACATGCATTTCAATCATTTTCTCATTTTTGAAAGTTACCTTGTCACTAAAACATTGAGAACATTGAACGTTTTATGTGTAGGGAACATCATCATCATCATCATCATCATCAACATCATCATCATTATTATTATTATTATTATTATTATTATTATTATTATTATTATTATTATTATTATTATTATTATTATTATCTATGATACATCTTGACTGGGTCTTCAAGTTCGAACTAAAATGTCATACACTACATTAAGATTGTAAGACTGTTTTACTTGGAGAAATATGACAGTATTTAAAATAGCTGATATTCGAAAACAAAATTAATCTTATTTTATTTTATTGAAAAAAAAAGACTCGTTTGGTTATCAAGTTTTTCGCGAAACGCTATATTTGAGATGCACAACAGTTTAACATACAAATATTCCTATGCAGTACAAGAATATAACAGGTTCAAGCGGTCTGTCATAAAAATAAACTTAATTAAACGTGTGAAATTGAGTTGTTTATTTATTTACTTATTTTATTTATTTATTTATTTATTTATTTATTTATTTATTTATTTATTTATTTATTTATTTTGGACAGTTGTGCATGCGTGTGGCAGCACAATATCTCCATCGAGTACAAAAAAATCTTTACTTGTTTGTATTTATATATTTATGTAATAAATTTTGACTTGAACACATTGATCCATTTAATAATAATAATAACAAGTACATTATTCAACACGATATGTTCTTGGTAAATCAAGACGAAGGCGTGAGACGGAAGTTGTGGCCTTCTCAGTTTACATTAGTCACAATATTAATCATATGGGGATTGGACACCATATTGTTTTTGACAAAGCCATTACAAACGACGGAGCTGGATATAACGTTTATACAGGAATATTTACAGTTCCAGTGACCGGACTCTACCTATTTACGTTCAGCGTGAGTGACCGCGACCGTTTAACTGTTCTACAATTGGTTATAGACGGGTTTAACTTGGTTGACATTAAAGACAGACCTGTCAATAATGCACAGGTAAATTCATGTTTATTGTAAAACAATCAAGCTTATGCAAAGGCTATTGCAACATTAAAGGGCGCGGGGACCTTTCATTAAACTTTCATTTGTTCATTAGCCTGTGTTTCTATAAGACTTAAGGTGATTCCGCTTTGTCAGCGATGTTTGATTTCACCAAGTCTGTCCAAAGTGAATTCATATATTAACAAAAAAGATTACAATGTAAAATGATGACCCATTTGAAAGTACACATCCAGGTCTATGTTTTAAAGACTATTAAAAACAAAAATAAAAATGATAACAATAAGAATATTTACTTTGAATGTGCTACATTTATGAAGACCAAATACAATCTGTTGTCAAGTTGTATGCACATTTTATGAATGGCAAAATCCAGTTTAAAGTCTGTTTTAGTGCAGACAAATGCTAATTTTTGCAGCAAATACATTGTGAGCTTTTTTGTTATATGAATTTTGGCCAACTTTCACTTTGGACAGACTTGGTGAAAACAAACATGGTTGACAAAGCAGATCGAATCACCTTAAATGTGCCAAATGTGTTACTACAAACATGCACCGATTAAATAATTGGTATCTTTCAAACAATAAATGTGTCTTTCAATACACAATAATAAGAAAATATAATAACATTTAAAAGTTATGCATTAAATTCATTTAAAGAGTTTTGCGGAATATTGTTTGTAAAAATATATATCAAAGTTTAGATCAGAATATTCCATATAATAATATCTTATATACTAATTAAGTGTTATTATCTTGTAGACCATGAGCAGCAACACGGTGATAGTCCATGTAAACAAAGGACAATCGGTATGGATCCAGGACTATGCATTAAACGATGCGTCAATACTTTCGCGTGAAATTTACCGTTACTGCACATTTTCTGGAATTCGTCTGTATTAAATATGCTCAGAAAATAAATCAGTAGTTCAGAAGTCCAAATACATTTTAAGAATTAATTAATTGTTGACAAATTGTCATATACGTATGTATTTGTATTGAACATGTTTTTCATCAAAACTATATGTACGCAAAGGAAGTGGGTATTGCTCAAGAAATAACTCGCAAATGGTCGACCATTAATAAATACACTGCAGAGTTAACGACATTTTTTTTATTTCATTTGTTTTTAAACATTTTAGCGTGTGGCAGCAAATAAATCAGATAGTTATATTTGTTCAAATAATCAAGCTTAAGTGATAAGTTTGAATGATTACTTTAATATCATTCTGAAATAAAATACATAAAATAATAATAATAATAATAATAAAAAATATATATGAGCATAGTATATCTTTAGTTATGACTGAATATATGTGTGCAGCATAATAATCTAAAATAAGATAAAGATTGCTTGGGTTTGATTAAAAGTCAAAATGGCAATATGAATGACTTTCCAGCACCCAAATACATTATTCACAGCAATAGCGAACCCCCGACAAGAACCACTGAATTTCCGCAACCAACTGAGTAGCTTCCTCATCCAATCTGAGATAATGCAATCTGCAGATATACATGTATGTGTCCAATATAAATATTTTCTATCAATGAATTTGCTACACAGCCCTCGCAGCTCGCTGAATACACTCACGTTACTTCAGACAGTGTGCGAGGGTGAAACATTCGACTGATGCGCAGAAGAGTATTAATTTGTGAAGGTTTACGGGGTACAAAAAATAAATAAATGTTTATGTGATAGATAGACGTTACGACTATGAAGAAAACACTTAACGGGCAGAGCGACTTCAACGTTTTTCTTGTAAGCGTCTAACGGACTTCATCTTTGACTACTTTTCGTATGCCCAAACTGATGCGAGTTTTAAATTATTAAATGATTAGATAAACGCATGTGTGTTATAGGTAATAAACACATTTAGGGCGTCTCATATAACGATAAAAGTTGGACAAAAACTAAAAGATTTTAATGCAAAGTTTTGTTTTCTTTTGTTCGATTATCGAAATATTTATTGTTTCGTATTTTAATTGTTGACAATAAACTCCACTACTGCGATAATTCATGTGACAAAGGGATCGTCTGTATTGGTTAAAGAATATGCCATTCATGAGGGTTCAATATTTTCAAATAATATCGGAAAATATTGTAAATTTTGTGTTGTATCTTTTCATATAAGTGTACATGCATTTCAATCATTTTCTCATTTTTGAAAGTTTCCTTGTCACTATAAAACATTGAGAACATTGAACCTTTTATATGTAGGGTACGAGTTTCATCATCATCATCATCATTATTATTATCATTATTATTATTATTATCATTATTATTATTATTATTATTATTATTATTATTATTATTATTATTATCTATGATACATCTTGACTGGGTCTTCAAGTTCGAACTAAAATGTCATACACTACATTAAGATTGTAAGACTGTTTTACTTGGAGAAATATGACAGTATTTAAAATAGCTGATATTCGAAAACAAAATTAATCTTATTTTATTTTATTGAAAAAAAAAGACTCGTTTCTATTTATTTATTTCTTTATTTTTGGACAGTTGTGCATGCATATATATTGACAGCACAATATCTCCATCGAGTACAAAAAAATCTTTACTTGTTTGTATTTATTTATTTATGTTCTAAATTTTGACTTGAACACACTGATCCATTTAATAATAATAACAAGTACAGAAACACATGTTATGATTCAACAACATATGTTCTTATCTAAGATAACAAAAAGTTTCACACGAAGAGATTGTCGGCATTGTTACGTGTCAGTTTTCTTTTACATTCACTGCAGGAGATATAACTGGTCAACAATGTTAGTCAAAATTCTTAATATCATAGTGTTTCTTTTTGTTGAGACTTTTATTTTATCTGCAAGTGTTGAGATAGAAAATGAGGTACAAATTACTAAGCTTATTGAGCAGATGATAGCAGAAAGGACTTCGGAGCTGACGAACAAAGTTCAGAGTCTAGAAAGAATCGTTACAAATCAGCAGACACGAATTCAGCGTCTAGAAAAACAGGAAAAGCGGAGAGAGAGGCAATAATTGACATGGTAAAATCATTAACAGACTTAAGACAAGAAATAAGTCAAAGAAATTAGAATCTGTGAAAGAGAATGCCAACACTGTCAACTATAATAAGAACAGTCACGTCGGAGTGGAAAACGAGACTAGGCTCAATGTATCTGTTGACGCAAGAAAAAAGGCTTCAGCTATTCGACAGGGTAAACAAGAGGATAATGAAATCATTGGTAAATCAAGACGAAGACGTGAGACGGAAGTTGTGGCCTTCTCAGTTTACCTTAGTCACGATATTGATCATATGGGGATTGGACACCATATTGTTTTTGACAAGGCCATTACGAACGAAGGAGCTGGATATAACGTCAATACAGGAATATTTACAGCTCCAGTGACCGGACTCTACCTATTTACTTTCAGCATGAGTGACGGCGACCAAACAAGTGTTCTTCAATTGGTTATGGATGGGTCTAATTTGGTTGACATTATAGACAATCCTGTCAATAATGAATTGGTAAATGCATTGTTTAATGTAAAACAATTAAGCTTATGCAAAGGCTATTGCACATTCAAGGGCGTAATGGACACGCAGGGACCTTTTATAAAACGATAAAATCGAGCCTTTGATTTGTTCATTAACCAGTGTTTCTGTAAGTCTTAAATGTGTCAAATGTGCGATTAAATAAATGGTATCTTTCAAACCATAAATATGTCTTCCAATACACAATAATAAGTAAATATAATAACATTAAAAACTTATGCATTCATTTAAAGATCCTGTAACACATTTTTTTCATGGCTTTATTTCATAAATATGACGCTCAAATTAAGATTTGTCAATCTTGTAAGTTCAAATAAGCATTATCTATAAAGATATTACCCAATTTAACATTTTGCGTAAATAAAGGGAGGTAATTAGAAATTTATTTTCTATAAATTCCAAGTCAAATTTTCCAATAAGAAATGAATGCATGTAACTTATTGATTAAATATAATGTGCACAAATATTTGCAGTACACATTTTACATATTCTTGGATGTTTGAAAATTGTTTTATTTGCATAATTATATACATATATAATATTTTGCAAGTGTGTGATACATACAGTAACAATATCAATCACAAAACATACAGGATCTTTAAAGATTTTTGCAGAATATACTTTGTAAAAAGATTAGCAAAGTTTAGATCTGTACAACCAATATAATAATATTTTATATACTAATTTAGTGTTATTATCTTGTAGACCATGAGCAGCAACACGGTGATAGTTCATGTAAACAAAGGACAGTCGGTATGGATCCAGGAGTATGCATTTAACGATGCGTCAATACTTTCGCGAGAAATTTACCGTTACTGCACATTTTCTGGAATTCTTGTGTATTAAATATGTTCAGAAAATAAAACAGTAGTGAGAAATCATGTTCAGAAGTTCAAATACTTTTTAATAATTAATTAATTGTTAATACGTTATCATATACAATGTACATGTATATTTGTATTGAATATGTTTTTCATCGAAACTATAACTGGATTACAATTTCACACAAAGGAAGTGGGTTTTTCCTCTAGAAACAACTCGCAAATGTTCGACCATTTATAAATTCACTTCAAAATTAACGACTTTTTTGGATTTCATTTGTTTTTAAACATTTTCAGGCATTTAGCAGCAAATAAATCATTTATGTATATTTGTTCACTATCATACTTAAGTGATAAGATTAAAAGTTTATTTTGATATCATTGTGAAATAAAATACCCACACTGTAAATATTTTTGAATACAAGAGGGCCATGATGACCCTTTTTATTGCTCACCTAACTGAAGTATACATGTAAACTATTTCTTACGGAAAGTTAATTATTGCTATGGAAGTCACTAATTGCAAAAGATAGTCAATGGTTGCTATGGAAGCGACTGGTTGCTATGGAAAGTCAGTGGTTACTTAGAAAAGGCAATGATTGCTATTGAAGTCAGTAATTGCTATTGAAGTCACTGGTTGCTATGAGGAGTCAATGGTTAGTTACTATAGGAAGTCAATGATTTTTATGGAAGTCACTGGTTGCAATGAAAAATCAACGGTTGCTATAGAATGTCAATGGTTGTAACAGAAGCCACTGGTTGCTATGGAAAGTCAAAAGTCATTATGGAATGTTAATTGTTGATATGGAGGTCAATGTTTGCTAGGACACTGGTTGCTATGTTAGTCACCGGTAGCTATGGAAAGTCAATGATTGTTTTGGAAGTCAATGGTTGCTATAGAAGGCATTAGTTAATATATATTTAAGAAAAATCAATGACCCTTTACACCTCATGGGTGGTACCAATTTAGACTCAGGGCTTTAAGTTGATCAAACTTAGTACAGGTCACCAACATAATGTTTCATGCGAAATATCTAATATCTAGCTCTTGTAAATTTTTACTATCTATATATTTAGAATATTTATGACATTCCGGGGATGGAGCAAATTTAGACCCAAACGTTATAATCTGAATAAACTTGGTAATGGTCCACTGGACAATATTCATTCAAATATATAATCTTTAGCCAAAAAGGTTTAAGAGGAGAACTTTTAACGTTTAAATTTTTACATATAAGGAAATCTAGGACGACTACCCAGAGTTTGGATGCCAAACATAAGCTTACCTCTTGATCTTTAAGAGAAGAGGAACTGTTTTTAGTTTCAATTTTATACAAATAAGGAAAATCCATGACCGTTGAGGGTTATTATTTGAACAGACTCAGCAGAGTAGAGCAGAGGTTTACAAGGCAATGTTTCATGCTAATTATCTAAGTTTTTGCCCTCTTGGTTATAAAGGGGTGGTTATTACTACAATGTACATGTAAGGAAAATCCATGACTCATTGGCTATATTTAAACAAACTTTGCAGAGGTTCACTATACAGTGTTTTATGCCAAATATTTAAGGTTATAAATGGGACAGAATAATTAAAATCATAATGATTAATAAATTATTACCATGTAGTCTATGAGCAGCAACATGGTAATATTCTATGTATACAACGGTCAGTCCGTATGGATTCAAAGGTATGTAGTCAACAATGCCTCAATCTTTTTGGATGATAATTATCGGTATTTTCTAGGGTTTTTGTTTAGTCTCATGTGAACGATTTTCGATATGCCTCAAACTTTTCCTGACCTGTTTACCTGTAATATCTTTTTGTGACAATCTAGTCAAAAATGATAACAATTTAAAGATACTAAGGGACAAATATATACATGTAAAAGGTTATTCAGTTGTCCGTAAATTGTGCAAGAAATGCTTGTATTTTCCCCAGATTTTAGCCTTTACTTTCTTTTATCTTAAAGCCTTAACATTATCAGTGATCACCAGGCTTGTACAGAATAAAACAGGCTTGTACAGAATAAAATACAGAAAATACTTAAGGGATATGAATTGAGATATGAAGTCAAAAATTCCATTGCAAATAAAAATGACATACATGTATAAAAACACAGAAAAGGCGTTATAAAAGGGTTACGAGCATTATTAAGAAAACAATGGCCGACATATAAAAAAATATAAAAATCTGAGTCCCTAACGAACATCTTAAACGGCAAAAATGAAAATGTTGCAATCCTGTAAGAGTCGGTAAGTGGTAAATGCACACTACATAGAACCGGCTTAAGCAGTATTAAATATTACCACAAAAACAACAATAACGTCGTACAGAACGATATTTTAGGATTAAAAATATAACATCTGTTATTGAATATACGGGACAACTTTTAAGGCTTCCATTCTTCACAAAAAAACGCTGATGTGGCAATAAAATATCTAAAACACGAACGAATGACAAGAGCTCGTCAAATTCTGTTGAAGTTGTAGTAGACGCCGTTAACGACAACATTGATATAACTGCTGTCGACACTGAAGACAATTGAATTGGCACACTAAAGAAGCGCTTTAATTTATTTTGAGCACTAAACTGGTCATGTGTCCATAAATTACGGATGCTCTCGTTCTTAGAGCTTTAAATTGGCAAAATATTGAAATAAGTTTAAGAAACAAGAAAGTCTTACGCGGAACAAGGACATTACTGAGAAATTACTGAATTATATGTACCTGAAAGTTTATACTAAATACTTTTGATAGTAAAACTTTGTGAGAAATAAACTTAAACCAAATATTAAGTTATGGAAAAAACCGAGCGCAGAAAAGGCATTATCATAAAATAATTTCCAGTTGATCATCAAGAACACGGGAAGCATTTTCCTCAAGCTTAAAGGTTTTAAGTCAATCTCATCATCTCGGTCCTCGAGCAGTTTTTTTTAAAGAAAAGACCAACTTTACTTGACCTGTTATTGGGAACGCAGCTTCCCATACATAGCTTATTCATTCTTTTACTCACATTAGACATATTCAGTAAGAATTTCATAGATTTAAATAAATTTCTGTGATTGAAATATTTTACTCAAAGATGAGCATAGTATATCTTTGGTCATGACTGACTATATCTGTGCAGCATTGTAACACCGCACTTTGGGGTCAAACGTACTTTGGGGTCCGACCCCAAAGTGCGTTACACTTCGCATCGCACTTTGGGGTTCAACGCACTTTGGGGTCAAAATCGAGAAATTGACCCCAAAGTGCGTTAATATGCTACATATCAACGCACTTTAGGTTCAAAAGTTGTGAGCGTGTCAACTGACTTCTGCTTAAATACTGAGTTCTGAATTATTTTCGATCTGCGACATTGAAATATTTGAGGTGAAGTTCAAGATGGCGGTTTGATGCTTAAGCTTAATTTTACCACTTGAAATATCTAAAAATTGTGTCCATATAACAAAGTACTCTAGTACATAAATTGTGGATATATTTCTAGAATTAAAAGATGCTGCGCAAAATATCCTGTTCTGTCAGTCATTTACTTGATAACTTTTGGTGCCATATTGAGCTCCATTTTAAATATGATGAGGATTAAATAATATGAAGTTAATATTTTTTCCAAAGAACTATAATATAATACTCTATTGCAATGTTCTTGTGAAATATCCAGTTATAAATAGTGATTTTTACAAATACATTATAATTTAAAGCTTATCGACAAACTTAAAGTTTTTGTAAGCTTCGTAACAGCCGTTCGCCAGAGGCTTTTTAATGGGGAATCTTACATACTTCTTTAGAAAGGGCAAATATGAATTTGTAATGTTTAAATAATAGTATTAGAGAAATATAAGAAACTTGTTACCCCTGAATAAAGTGGCGATAAATGTGAAAAAATTGAAAGTAGCAAAATGTAAACAATGTAGTATTTGACTTCCATATAAAATACTAATTCACTATAACTGTACTCATTGCCAAAAAGCAACAGATGAAAAAGATGGTTCAGGTAATTGGCCAATGAATAACTTTTTGGATACTATTGAAGTGCACTAAAATTTAAAAAAAGCTTTTTAAGAAATACAAATAAAAGCACAATGGACCTTTATAATACCGGGGGATCGAGACCCCATCATCCCCTCAGAACTCCCTCAGTGAGAACTTTACATCATTATGAATGTGTGACTACTTAAATAGTTTATGATACTTTTGTGTACTGCCTGTACGGACTACTACTTAAGGCCGCATCTACACCAAGTTCCTTAAATGTCACATTTAGATAAGCTAAATGAATGGTCATTTCAACATATAATCAGGCACATATTTTACTGAATGTTTTATTAAGATTTCCCAGAATTTATACTTTTGTCTATGCTGAGACTATTATATTTCTATCAAATGTGTAAATAATAATAAACGGGAAAATGATGCAATTAGCTAAAAACAATGGAGTTAATGAAAGGCGTACATTATTTTGAAATAAATGGAAAATGTGAGAGAAAATATATTTTGACCTTATTAATTGATACAAATTCTTTATTTGATGAAAGTTCTTCACTATAATTGATCAAGATAATTTAAAATCCCTATTGATTCCACTATAATTCAGGTCAGATGTTTTGCCTCTATTTAATATCTTGATTTTTGTTTACCATTGGTTTTGACAACAATATATTATTTAAAACATCATGAAAAATCATTTTATTGATTGAATTTTTGTGACCTCAAAGTGCGGTCGTTTGTCTGATGTTAAAAAATGCATATGTACCTTGTTTAACGCACTTTGGGGTCCAAATTGGACCCCAAAGTGCGTAACGCACTCTGGGGTCGGACCCCACAGTGCAGTGTTACATAGCATAATAATCTAAAATAAGATAAAAATTGATTGGGTTGGATTTAAAGTCAAAATGGCAATATGAAGGACTTTCCAGCACCCAAATACATTATTCACAGCATTAGCGAGCCCCGAGAAGAACCACTGAATTCCCGTAACCAACTGAGTAGCTTCCTCATCCAATCTGCGATAATGCAATCTGCAGATATACATGTATGTGTCCAATATAAATATTTTCTAT